CGTAAAATATTTCCATGCACCAAATATAGTTGACCTTTTGCATACAGTATTAGGAAAACAGACCAAAACACAAAAACTTAACATTGAGCAATGAACCGTGAAAAAGAGGTCAAGGTCAAATAAAACCTGCCAGACAGACATGTACATCGTAAAATATTTCCATACACCAAATATAGTTGACCTACTGCATACAGTATTAGAAAATCAGACCAAAAAACAAAAACTTAACATTGAGCAATGAACCAAGGTCAAGGTCAAATAAAACCTGCCAGACTGACATGTACATCGTAAAATATTTCCATACACCAAATATAGTTGACCTACTGCATACTGTATTAGAAAATCAGACCAAAAAACAAAAACTAAACATTGAGCAATGAACCGTGAAAATGAGGTCAAGGTCAAATAAAACCTGCCAGACTGACATGTACAGTAAAATATTTCCATACACCAAATATAGTTAAACTATTGCATACAGTATTAGAAAAACAGACCAAAAACACAAAAACTAAACTATTACCACTGAACCATGAAAATGAGGTCAAGGTCAGATGACACCTGCCAGTTGGACATGTACACCTTACAATCATTACATACACCAAATACAGTAGACCTATTGCTTATAGTATCTGAGATATGGACTTCACCACGAAAACTTAACCTTGTTCACTGATCCATGAAATGAGGTCTGACAGGCATGAGGACCTTGCAAGGTACGCACATACCAAATATAATTATCCTATTACTCATAGTAAGAGAGAAATAAACATTACAAAAAATCTTAACTTTTTGTTCAAGTAGTAGCTGAACCATGAAAATGAGGTCAAGGTCAATGGACATATGACAGACGGAAACTTCATATCATAAGGCATCTATATACAAAGTATGAAGCATCCAGGTCTTCTATTTCTCTGGAATATTAAGCTTTTAAGAATTTAGCTAACGCCGCCGCCGCCGGATCACTATCCCTTTGTCGAGCTTTCTGCGACAAAAGTCGCAGGCTCGACAATAATCACTGCAAAATGCACATGACTACATTACATAATCACTGCCAAATATAAATGGCTACATTATATAATCACTGCAAAATATGTATGGCTATATTAACACAATCACTTCAAAATGCACATGACTACATAATCACCGCCGAATATAGATGGCTACATTTTATAATCACTCCCATATATATATGACTACATTACATATCACAGTCAAATATAGATGACTACACTACATAATAACTGCCTAATATAGATGGCTACATTGCATAATCACTGTCAAATATAAATGGCTACATTACATAATCACTATCAATTAAAAGACAAAACAAAAGAGTTCTCATACTTTTGCCTACTAACAAAATAGGCACTAAATATGATATTTTCATTATTCTAAAGTAACTTTTTATATAACTTTCATTAAATAATAAATCTAATTTGTCAGTTTCTGTCGCCTCTACCGCCTCTTCTACCTCTCCTCCAGCAGCCTCTAGGGCCTCCTCTATTAGGACGTGAATCAGACGAACCAGGAACATATTTCGGACGGCCAAATTCTCCTTTAAATGGTTTGAAGTTTTCATTCGGTTCATTATTTATCTTGTTTTGTTGCATATTTATTCCAAATGTTCCTGCAACCTGCTCCTGATGATGAACAATATTTCTCTGCCAGATTCTATTATGATCTGCTTCTTGATCATGATGAGAAACAACTTGCTCATGACGAAGAACACTATTTCTCTGCCAGATTTTATTATGAACTGCTACTGGATCATGATGAGGAACAACTTGATACTGATGAGGAACAGTATTTCTCTGCCAAATTCCATTATGTCCTGTCCCTCTGCCTTCAGTGGAACGCCCAAAATTCGATTCCATAAAATTGGAAGCACTGTAACCTCTTTGTGGTCGCCCAACGGAAGAGTTAAAATCTGTATTATATCCTTGATATCCCGCTGAACGAGTTTGAAATGAACGTCCAGCCACCTCAACTGTTTGTTGATTTTTCTTGCCTCTACCACGCCCGCGTCCGCGACTGTTTCCTCTATAATAACCTCCATCTGTATTTGGATGTATGTAATCCTGAAGTGTTAAATTATCTGATGAACGATTACTGCTTTGAAAATGTGTACGAACTTCTTGGGTGTTTGTTTGTTTTGTATCCCTTCATGTTTCAGACATTCTATTTTTATTAGATTTGTTTCGTTTATTTCTTCTCTGCTGTGCGCCCATTACGTTTCCTTTGCCTTGATGGTATCTATCCCTTTCAGAGTTTTCAGTTAGAGACTGGAAATGTGATTTCCAAAGAACTCCTTCTTTCGACTCTGCAAACACTTTTGAGGTCGAAGCAGCAGAACAAGTATAACAATTGTGATGAATCAAGGTCGATGTAAGATGGCCTATAATGAAAATAAAATTAGCTTTACATTGATCTGTTTTTGGAAATAAAAACCGTGAAAAATGCTATTGAATGTTGAATTAAACAGCAAGCTGTGTTATACAAAGTGAAGGCAGCCATTTGCTGTCAGACTCACGCTGACAATATCGGGTTGTCAATTTTTCTGATCATGTGCTATACCTGTTTTCAATATTCTTCATGTGGTAATTTTTAACATGAAGTAAAAAAAACATCCTAAAACTATTTTTCTGTATTTTTTTTTTTTTTTTTTTTATTTTTTTAATTTTTAGAATATGGTCTTCATTGTAATTTTAGAAAGTGTCGGTTTCTGTCTGCTCCACAAAATATCTTTTACTATCAATAGACCACATATCATGCATATTGCAAGTGATATGTGACTCGTGGTCACTGAGAAACTAAAAGTTAAAGCTTGAAGTTGATCACTGAATAAAGAACAGAAGTTGGTGTAAGGTGTATCCTATCACCTTGCCATGCAACTGAAAAACGTACACAAGTATGAATAAAAGGCTCTGCGGGGCGCAGCTTGATACGACCGCAGAGGTTAAACCCTGAACAGCATAGGTTTATGACACAGAATGAATGTAGGCAAAGTACTGAAAAATTTGCAATTGGACTTTTTCCTAATATATTCCAATATCCAAAATCAAATTACACGGTTAATTTCAGCAAATCCATGTACACCAAGAATTTAACTTATTTATCTATTAATGGACAATATAAGCTAAGTTTTTAAAGGGGTCCGCTTCATAAATATATATATAGCATTCTGAACCATTACATTGACTGATTCAATACACAAAAATCATTCGTGTATAGGTAAAAACGACGGTTAACTTATTTTTTACCGTTTTTATGAAATCTAACAAACCTAGGAAAATCCAATTGCACGTAGTTGCTATCTATTTATATTTATGTTTATATCCGGTTGAATGACCATCGGCAGTCCTCGGAGGTCATTTCGATGATAAATTAATTAGATGGTGTCTAGACTAAAATACACCCGATATATATTATCAATTCCAGACATCGTTAGTTGTTTATTTTAGACTTATTGTAATTTGAATAAACGTTTTAGTATAATTTAAATTAAATATGAGAATCTTAGTCAAATTGGTGAATATGAATTTGACAGCTAATGTCCCTTTAAAAACATGAAAAATCTTTAAAACGTACCTTTAATTTTTTTTTCAAAATATCTAATAATGAACAGTAACTTTCAAATGATATTAATACATAATTTCCATTAATTTTATTTAACTATGAATCTACTTTCAATTTCTATTAACTGTGCAATACAGCTCTGAATTTGGATTGTGATTGTGACATAGCATAGGTTTCTGATACAGAATGAATGTGGTCTAAGAACTTAAATATTTTAAATTGGACATTTACATATTATGGTCCAATATCCAAAATCTAAATACACATCATGGTTAGATTCAGCATATCAATGAACCCCAAGAGTTCAAGTCTTTGTTAACCCCGTTGAAATTGGTACAAAAATTAAGCAATTTATACAAAGTATCAGAAACGTATTTGTTTGGTCCCTTTTCCCGAAACAGTTAAGGCCATAATCCTCAAATTCAACACCAACCTTCCTTTTATGGTATCGAACATTTTGGTACAATTTCATAGAGTTCCATAGACTTATACTCAAGTTATTGTCCGGAAACAAGAACATACAAGTTTTTGGACCTCTTGTTGATCCCTAATTCCAAACCGGTTTGGGTTATTACCCCAAAAATCAATCCCTACCTTCCTTTTGAAGTATGGAACCTTGTGGTACAATTTCATAGAGATTCTTAAACTTATACAAAAATGTCTTTCGATGACGACGACGACGACAACGCCATATCATTATTCGACAGTAAAATGTTTTCGGTCATATAAAAACAATAACGGTTACCACTGAACCGTGTCATAACGGGTTCAACGACATACATGTGAACTTTATGGATCAACTCTAGTGGACCTATACTCATAGTTCATCATTAACTGCCTTCAGCAAGAAAAATGTAGGTTGTCTTGATCAACGCCATGTGACATATATGCCATACATAAATTGCTATACTATCTATTGAAATATAAGCCTTCAGTTCATTTGTAATAAGATAATATCCCCTCCAGATTGTTACGCACATTTGCGACATCATGGGAGTTTGTTTTGAAGAAAAACCGTGCAAAAATACTAATATAAATATTAACAGCTCTAGGTTTTCAATCACAACTAGGTAAGAACAAAACTTGAATTATTATATATATTAAATAAATTTCTCTATATTTTACCTTGCTTGCATATTTTCCAGTCTTTCTCGTGGACACCAATAGCTGTAACAGAGGTGAGTTGTGGACATTGCATTGCCTCTGTAAAATGAGGTTCATTTCTCATAAAGGGAATCATAATATTTAGTAATCGTTTTACTTCACTTTTCTGATTAATTATCATTGTGTCTTCGATCTTTCTCACAATGTCCAATCCAGTTAGACATTCTTCGACTTCCGTTTGTGATATCTCTTCACCCTTTTGATTTGTGGAAGTGTCTCCGTCACATCCGTTTTCCATTGATTTTGACTCGCAATTCAGACAAAGCTGATAGATCAATAACTTCGAGTTTAGTGTCCCCATCGTTACCCTCAATACCTTTTATGACAGGTTTAGATGTCTTTAATTCTATGAATTCAGAAGAGGAATCTATATTATCTTCAGTAATATCATGTGAATATATGTTATCATTTTCATCTTGATTTTGGGTTATATTTTTATCATTGAAGTTTCTTTCAAGAAGTTTTTCATTGCTTGTTACAAGTTGTAACATCCAATTTACATATAAACGAAATATCGCATCATATATATCTATCCAATTCTGTAGGCATTTACTTTTTGTCTTTCTCATTGCCTTCGACATTTTTTCAGCATATGCTTGAAGGGATTTAATCTCAAATTTTTTCGTGTCTCGAGCTATGTAGCTAATGATTTGTACATAGGTATTAAATGACCCAATATAATTGTGGAATTGTTGAACAATTTTTGAATCACACAATGGAAATGTGTAGTTAGACTTTTTTGTTACCTTTTGAAAGTTCTCCTTAAGTTCTTCTGTTAACATTTTCTTCCTTTTTAGTATTTTATCATACCGTGGATGCCAATAAAAAACTTGCTCACAACCTGGACATTGGGAGGTTAAGTCGTTAGCAGTAGTTTCCATGTGTCTATCGAGAAACATATACCCAAATGAGTGTCCGCATTTTTCTATTGTGACGGTTTTTATTCCTTCATTACCTTCCATAAAGTTTGCTGCATCGCAGCCCTTGCAAGAAACTGGACATGGCTCGCTACAAAATCCTGGGCATTTATGACCACAAGTCAGTTTATGTTCACACTCTTCTGAACAAAGTGGTCGATCACATTCTTCTGAACATAATTTCGAACATTGAAAGTGCGGGCACTTCCAAGGGCATGACATTTTGCAAGGAACGCAAATGTCTCTACAATTTAGCTTGCAAATATCATGAGCACATGAAAAAGAGCAGAACTTATCACACGGTCTACATTGCATACATGTTTTACTGTCACAATAATGACCACAGAACAAACGCCTACCACATTTGCGCATGCATTCTTTGTGAATGATGTTTTCTTCGCATAATGTACATGTATTTGTACAAGAGTGACCGCAAATTAAAATTTGTTCACACTTTTGATTGCAAACTGCTTGGTCGGAAATTCTACATTGAACAGTTATCTTATGACCGCAAGGCAGTTGCTTGTCTATCAGATGTTCACATAACGGTATTTTACGGTCGATTTCCTCGCGATAATCATACCTCCTTCCCAAACCACCCCTTCTCAGTGCAGTTGAGGCTTTAAGTTGCAGTTTTTGCATATCTGGATGTTGACAACATTCAAAGTACCTTTCATGTCCACATTTCGGGTACGTATAGACAGAATGTTCATGACATTCGAATTTGTTGTGCTTTTGATAACATTCAACCATTTTCGTGTGCCCACATTGGTCCATTCGTATTTCAACAAGTGCTTTGCAATCGCTAACTAGTTTATTCCAGCTTGTCGTCTTGTTTTCTTTTTCCCAACACGTTGTTTGTCCTATATGGCCACAATTGAGCTCAATATCCACAATTGCTGAACATTTAATATTTGTATATGTTCTTGCAAATGCTCTAGGTAAGGCGATCAGTTTTTTCTTGTTTTCGTATTGAAACCGTTCAAAGCATTTGACCGCGGTTGTATGACCACATACTAAATTTAGATCAACCATAGTTTCATATTCAATACCAGCTTTTCCCTCTGTTTGCGTTAATGCACAGTTCTTCTCGTAATTAAGTTTCTTGTAACACTCTGTTGTTATTGAATGACCACACTCTAAATCAAAAACTACTTCCTTTGAACATTTCAGGTCATACATATCTTGTATATGTTTCAACATATATTTGTCGGCCTCTTTGATTTCAAACGACTTCCAGCATTCGGCAAGTTTTGTGTGGCCACATTCAGGTAAGTCTACTGGAATAATCACGAGACACATGATACGCTTTTCATATAACTTTCTCTTCCTCAGTTCAGCTGTTTCAATTTTGTGCTTCTCACTGCAAGATATATTTTGATGGTGTCCGCATATTTCCAGGGTAAAATCTACTTGTTCCGTGCAACTTGTTAATTGGTCAACCTCTTCCGAACATTCAATAAGAATATTATGACCACACCGTGGTAATGTTTTATTTATCTTTACGTTACAATGACATTCGGAAGAAAAATGGCATACGCGATCACAAATATGATTGTTGTTACACTGTTTTAGGCATTTCTTTTTGCAAGAAAGGTATGATCCATCTCTATTTTGATAACATTTGATTATTTCTATGTGTCCACATTTCAGAGTTTTTTCAACTTTTATTTCACATTTGTGTCTCCGTTCAAAAGCAATGTCGTGACATTCCCGTTTATACTCATGACCACAGTCGTCTCGCGTACAAGTATCAATTTTTCTGCACATATATGTATCATAATTTATATGACATTTCAAGATGATGCTGTGGTCACATTTTAACGTACGCTTCACTTCCACAAGGCATTGGTGTTCTGATGGATCAATGTGGCACATGAGCTTTGCTGTGTGATGACATTGGAGTGTCCTTTCCATTATAACTTCACAATCACATGATTTTGGAAAATGACAGCGTTTGTTACATTTATGACTTTCTTCACATTCGTTTAAGCACATTTTTCTACATTCATACACTACGTGGTCTTTATCGTATGGGTGACACCTCAAGTGACAAACATGACCACATTTCAATTTCATTCCACAAAACAGTTCACATCCACCTTCTGGTGCTCTTGTGAAATCTGTAGGAAATTCGGCTCGAATACCTTCTTGTTCTGGGTGGTTTTGACAGTACAATGGTAAAGCTTTACCAAATGACGTTCCACAATCTGTCCTTGGAAATTCATGGTTCGTATCTTCTTTGTTATTTGACTTTATTTTCTTTACCACTGTTTTCCATTCTTTACAATCTTTTGTCAGTGTTGTACTATTACCAATAATGTAAAGACCCTTCTTCGCTCTTGATAAAGCAACACAAATTCTATTTCCACGTCTCAAAAATCCAATGTCACCGTTATCATTACTGCGCACCAAAGACAATAATATTATCTCATTCTCTTCTCCCTGGTAATTGTCCAATACACATGTATTAACTCCTTCAAAGTGAACTCTGGGCATTTTGCTTCGTATCAAAAACATCTGACCTGTGTACGCAGCAAGAATTGTAATTTCGCTTCGTTTGTAGCCTTGCTTCAATAGATAAGTGCAAAGTTCTTTCACATATTCTGCTTCATGCTCGTTTGAAAAACTTTTACCATCTCTATTGTACTGTTCGCCGTACTCATGAGTAATAAAAAACAGATTTTGTCGAATACCTTTGATATTGTCATACTCTAGAACATTGTTATTGTCATAAAGCTTAGGATACATGTGCCTCACTAATTCGGAAATTTCTGGTCTCATTCTATGCTGTCTTTGCAGACAGTCGTATTCTAAACCATTGTTGAGCATTCTCTCAAACAATGAAAGCGAAAGGTTGAACCGTGTTGCTAATTCACGAACCGCTGGTTTCGGCTCTAATTGTTTGTGATCACCGATCAAAATTAGATGTTCGCATGCTGGATTAATTGCAGTCACGATGTGAGCTTCTGGTACCTCTGCAGCTTCCTCAATGATTGTTATTTGGGGGCCTATTTGCATCAGCAACTGATGGTATTTCGCAGCACCAGTTGTAGTCATAGCGATAACAGATGCATGTTTTAAGATTTCCTCGTCCAGCTCTAATCTGGCCTTTTTGTAATCTTCAAATATTTCATTGAACTCGTTCTCTTTCATCTTAAGCATTTCTTTCAGGTCTTCGACATACTTTCGAAGCCAATGGCGATATAATTTCCAGCGATTCTCAAAAGAAAGATTCCACAAGTTTTCCGTTCTCTCAATCAAATTATGATTTGCTGTAATACTTGATTTTAACTCAATTGAAACTATTTCGGCCTCTTCGTGTAAAATTTGTATACATGTTCGGTCTTGCAAGTCGGTTAAGATCTCACTTAACTGATTGTTGACATTAATGCCGATGGAATTCTCATTAAACTTGAATTCTACGTTCTCATCTAATGACCTTTCACTGTATTCGTATTCGGCTTCTGTCACTATGTTAATAACAGGCTGCTGTAAATTTGCACTGATTTTAGTTTTGACGGCTTTTCGTTTGCGTTTTTTCTGTGACCTTTTCCTCTGAACTTCTAGAAACCATGATTTTGGAAAAATATGAATCCAGTCTAACCAGTCATTTGAGGTATCGTTCTGAAAATTATGAACATGGCGTTCTGACATAAATTTCTTCAACTGTCGAAAATGGAGAACAACGTCCTGGCCTTGAATGATTTTTAATATTGCACGAATAGAAAAAATAGTTTTTTTGTACGATTAGCTGCTTCAAGCACCTCTTGAGCATGCTGTCTTCTTTGAACTTTATGCCGCTGATTTTTTATAGAATATTTGTTAACAGCCGCATTTTTACTTTGGTTTCCAATTCTTATTACAGATGGTATTTTATTATTTAATTCTTTTTCAGGAATAAAATCAATAATTCCTTCAACAAACTGATCAAGAGCGTGATTTGTATAGCAAACAATTAAGAGGCATTGTTTCCTCTCAATCCTTTCTCCATTTTGATCATAACCTCGTATTATTTTCCATTTTTCTCTGTTGTGAAGCAATGTTTTTGCAATTTGCAGACCAATGTATGTTTTTCCAGTGCCAGGGGGTCCTTGAATCAGGACAAATTCTTTTGTTAAAGAGGAGATAAATGCTTTCCTTTGTGACTCGTCCATTCCAAGTTCTTCTTCAGATGGCCATTCATCTTTATCTGTCACCTTCATCATATATTCTTTGAAATACATTTTCTTCGTCCTTTTTTCTCTTCCTGTCAGCAATGGACTTATGTCTACGTCAAACACTTTCTCGTCATCAGAACTGTCACTGGACTCGTGTTTGGTGTGCTTTACAGATAGCACTGGTCCTAAATCAAATTTTATATCAGGATCAATGGCAAGATAGAATGGCATTCCAACAGAGCTATTGCAAGAAACGATATACTTCTGAAATGGTAAGTTGTCTTCTTTAATTGATTGCATAGCGGTCAAAACATGATGATATGCCTCAAAATATGCGGATGTTGCTTCGAGTAGTATTCCTGGGGTTTCTCGGGGTATCTGCTGATTCAGTCTAGTTCTGAAAATCTTAATTCTAAAAGTACCTGTCTCTTTCATCTCGTCTGGTTTAGATTCGGAAACTAATACAAATAATGTCGATTTGAAACGATCAAATGACAATAGCAAAACTGATCCGAATATCAGTCGTTTTGAATTGTTCCAGCGGATACGCTGTCTATGTTCGTCATCCAATTGAATACTAAATACTTCGCCATGATCTATTGAAGTACTTGTTTCCCTTTGTACGTTGACATCTCTGTAGATACGTCCGTTTTCTAATCGGAAATTCTCATTTTCTGCATCTTTTTTAATGAATTTTTCATAGACATCTCGTAGTGGTACAATACAGTCCTCTCTGTACAGTCGAAACTGAACGTCTAAGTAGTGGTCTAGATCATTGTATTTACCTTTAGCTTTGTTCCGTCGGAGGAACAACGTTTGGTACCGTAGATCCTCTTCCTGTGGCATTACAGAGAGACACCGGAAGTCGTCAGGTGGTTTTAACCAATCCTCGGAATCTTTTTCTCTCTTCTTGAAATTTCTTGCTGCTTCAGCCCTTTCTGTAAGTTTTCTTATCAGACATTTCTGAAGTTCATTGATATTTTCTAAAACTTGTTGATCATTCTTCAAATCATCAAATCCTTCAATTTCTTTCTTGAGAAGAGAAACCAGTCCAATTTTTTGTGGCGTATTAAGTGCTGATGGAATCGTCCCGTTTAATTTTTGAAGTATAAAAAGAAAATCAATAAGAAGGCATTGGTATGAATGGAAATTCTTGCAATTGCTACTTTTTGATATTAGTAGTTTTGCTCCATTGTTGTTCAAAACCGGTGATTCAGTCATCGATTGGAGAAGTTGAAGAACTTTTTGTCGTGACGACTGTTGTTCACTCCGTGATGCACATGCAACAAGATGAATAAGAATTTCGATGGCTTCATTCGTGAGTTCAGCAGAATTCATGAATCTGTGTAGCTCGTTTGATAATGTAGTAAGACATTCAAGTATTTGTTCATCTTCAAAATTCAAAATACGGCGTAGATATTTCACGCTTATCTCCAAGTTAGCACTTGAAGACTCCATTTTGTTGATTGGTGTTAGTTGGTCGACTTCCGGCAGTCTACAATATACATGTTTAGTTACTAAGGTGTTTATGAAAGAGTGATTTTTCGATCATCAAAAAATCTTTCCATGTTAAAAATTTCTGTATTCTTCATTATTGCATTAAAATATATTTGAAGTTAAAACATGAACAAATCGATCTTTTACAATATTTAAAATTGCCAAACGGAAGCTGAAATCGAACCACGTGACCAGAAAAGTTTTGGCACATGGCACCTGGGCTATCGTTCCTCCTCTACTTTATCCCGATAAAAATTGGATTTTTCCCAGAATTGAAATATTTTGAAATGACAGCTTTTCAAGTTCATTTTATTGAAATCTATGTTATTAGATCATCTTTCTTTAGTGTCAGTCCCAAATTATTAATTTTAGCAAAATAACAGTCATCATAAAACCACAATAGAAGCACTATACAATATACAATAAAGTATCAATACAAATCTGTTCTGGCATCAAACATGTAAGCAACAGTGTCGGTGTCATATTTTGAAATCAATTGATTGCCAATGTTATGTTATGTTCAATGTTTATAGAATAGGACCAGACATTTTCTAACCAACTTAGAACATATTCACACCTTTGGGTGACATGACAAATTAATCCATTCCAATTGTCATAAACAAAGTCCTAATATGAGTTCTTTTTAAAGTACAAATATGGTTAATAAAAGGAATAAAAAACCTTTGTTGGTCATGTCAGCAGACGGAATAAAATAACACAGGGATAGCTTTTTATGAGAACAAATTGTAAAAAATCATTTTTAATTAGAATTTATGACCCGCTTTAGGATAGACTAAATAGACACACTATGATTAATGACTTTTTCGAACGTTGAAAATTTTTATGGTTATGATATTCAATCAATTTATATCAAAATAACGATCATTCCAACACCAGATTATTACTTTTTTTAATTGATAAATGTTCAATCATTTTTTTATTTCCTTTCCTTTATATATCAATAGTTCTTGTTTCTTAGAAATTAAAATTACACCATTCCAGGCCCTTTTGTTTTCAACATAATTAATATTGCCACTAATTAACAAGTTCCGGGTTAAATCCGATACCGATACCAATAGTATAGGTCACATGTATGTATGTTCTGTGTCTTTCCTTTAAAAAGAGCACTACCATCGGTCATGGTGTAAAGGATAACATTTAACACACTGTATTGGTATAGATTTACTGTGAGCTTTTGCCTACCCAGTTTCTCAGCCTGGACGGGTCTTACTACCACAAAGTTATCCTTCCTCAAAACAATAAGTACAATGCAATAAAACATATGAACACACACTCATCCGATTCGCTCATCCTTAAAGTATAAAGAAATGCAAATATAAAAGCAATTATATACAAAATAAGGGACAAGGTCCCCCGGGTGTCGCACAAATGCCATGGCAACGAACAGAAAACCGGCAAGGACATACTTGCATTCCTGAAATAAATAAAAAAAAAGCAATTTCAAAGATAATGAAGACATTTCTCTGCAAAAATGTCCACGTCCGCTCTCAACGGTATGTACCAAAAATCAAGGCTTAAAAAGTGCTATAATTCAGTCACTGATCCGTGATGTCGCGGGTGTGTTCTAGTATTATAACTAACAAAGACCCCAACAAAAATGCCACGGTGTTGTAGAAGAGAGTAAATTTGACAAAGACGCCAACAAAACCGTGTTTTTCGTTGAAAGGAAATTGACAAATTTATCCTATAGTTTGCGTATAGTTCATTACGAAGAATTTCCAAAAATGAGTTACACCTATCCCGAAACCAATTTATCAGAAAGATATGAGTTATGATTAACTAATGAAAATTAAAATTTTGAAACAAAAAAAATTCAAAATATGTTGAAGTTCAATAAATTGTGCCGTATATTGGTACTTATAATGCTAATGTGATAATATAAATAACACAAAATGCCTATAAATGAAACATTATATAAATGCAATACAAAATAGTACGAAATTGTATTAGTGCCATCCTTTTTTATTTTTATTTTTTCAAATTGTCGACTTTAATCTTTGAATTATAAACTTAAATCTTGGAGTTTCCAACTTTAATCTTGGAATTATCAACATAAATCGTGGTGTTATCAACTTTAATCTTGGAATTTCCAACTTTAATCTTTCGACCTTCATTCGTCCGACACTGATTTTTCCGACTTTCATTAATCGAGTGAATCTCTGAATTGAGAACATCGTGACTTTTGGCTCACTGGACTCTTGCCTCGGCCAACAGTGCACTTCAGTTTGATGTGCTTTATTTTACTTTTTGTTGGTGATTGCTTCTGTAAACATAGATGCACATCCGCCTATTCAGCAATATAATATAATAAATGCGTGTACTGCATACATGATTACAAATGGATATTTAATTTTGAAATTAACACCGAGATTTTTTGAAAGGGGTCTGCCATTTTTGCCTAAAAACTATTCACTAATATTTGGTACCCATATTTAAATATAAATATATATACAAGGAATGATCTTTACTTATATGCAATATTTCAATTTTAAATGCTTGGTTTTAGGGACTTTATATTTATGTAGATATAAAGTCCCTGGTTGATTCAAATACCACAATAGGCCATTAATATTAGTTTTCCAATAACATATTTCTATAAAATATGTTGAACATATGCCAAACCAATATAAAGTTATGAATGAATAATGCATTTCAATATAGAATGTCATTAAAAAACAGTGTAGTATATATAAAATCTCGCAAAATAATGGCACATATTTTGGCATATCCACGTATACCCTTTAATAGAAAGTAACCCCCCCCCCCCCCCCTTCCCTTTTCATAGATATTAGGCTACGTGATTGAAGCATACAAGACAAGACTTTAAAAAAAATGTAGCCGCGAAAATAGTTATAAATAGATTAAGTATACGGAGAAACATAATAAACTATAAGCTAGAAGTAAAATATCAGTCATTTCCAAGACTAAAGTTGAGAGTTCCAAGATTAAAGTTGAGAGTTCCAAGATAAAATTTGGAAATTCCAAGATTAAAGTTGATGATTCCAAGATTAAAGTTGGAAATTCCAAGATCAAAGTTGATAATTCCGACAATTCCAAGATTAAAGTTGGAAATTCCAAGATTAAAGTCGACAATTTGAGAAAAAATAAATTAAAAAAGGATGGTCCTAATACGCTACCGTAAAAATAGAGAGAAAAAAAAATAAATATATACGGTGGCCTATAATTGCTTACATTTATATTCTCTTCAATTTAGCATTGGTGGATATTTTTATCACTGGCAATCATACCACATTTCCATATTTTTACATAAGCTTAATATTTAGCTAATACCATTACAAAACTGTGAAAACTGGATATTTGGTTGGTTAGAATAGCCATTTCAAATATTCTGATACAGTCTAAACAGTAAATGTATTTATAACTGTATTCAAAACACGTTCCTATGTTACCATAGTCACGTGTTCATCCATGTGTGTTTGTTTATTTATTTTTTTTAAATGACCATATGCATTTAGCATTGGTCAAAATTTGACCTTTAGTTTATATTAAATTCTGGATTTAAAGTTTCAACTAATGTTTCACGAATTTCAAAAGTGGGAATTGATTTCGTTGAAAACATAAGCTTTATTAAATAAGATCTTCATATAAAAAAAACATATATATATACACATATAAATTGTAAACACTGCATATAATTTTGTGACCGCTGCATATAATGCTGTCAAGACTGTTGTGACCACTACGCATAATGTTGTGACCCACTACATAAAATATAATGACCACTACATATGATGTTGTGACCACTGCATATAATGTTTTTACCGCTGCATTTAATGCTGTCGCGACAGGTGTGACCACTGCATATAATATGTTCTGACCGATGCATATAATGTTGTGACCAATGCATGTAATGCAATGACCGCTGCAAACAATGTTATGACCACTGCATGTAATGTTTTGACCACTGCATATAATGTTGTGACCACTGCATATAATGTTGTGACCACTGCCTATAGTGTTGTGACCACTGCATATAATATTGTGACCATTGTATATAATGTTTTAAGTACCACATGTAATGTTGTCACCACTGCATATAATGTTATACCACTATATATAATGTCATGACCGCTGCATACATGTATAATGTTATGACCACTGCATACAATGATGATACCACTGCATATAATGCTGTCACCACTGCATATAATGTTATGACCATTGTATATAATGTTATGACCACTGCATATAATGCTGTTACAATTTCTTATAATGTTAACGTTTTGACCATTGCATATAATGTTTTGCCCACTGCATATAAATTTGTGACCACTGCATATAATGTTGTGACCACTGCATATAATGCTGTGACCACTGCATATAATGTTGTGACCACTACATATAATGTAATGACTGCTGCATATTATGTTTTGACCCACTGCAACTTATGTTATGACCATTGCATATAATCTCATGACCACTGCATACAATATTGTAACCACTGCATGTAATATTGTGACCACTGCATATAATGTGGTGGCCACTGTATATAATGCTGTGACCACTGCATATAATGTTGTGACCACTACATATAATGTAATGAATGCTGCATATTATGTTTTGACCCACTGCATCTAATGTTATGACCATTGCATATAATCTCATGACCACTGCATACAATATTGTGACCACTGCATATAATGTGGTGGCCACTGTATATAATATTGTTACCATTGCATATAATGTTGTTGTTAGTGCCACATGGAATGCTGTCACCTCTGCATATAATGATGATCATTTACATATTTGATTGTAAAATAACAGAAAACAATCAGTCTAGATATTTATGGATAGTGCAAATTTTGAGATAGGAATGTAATACATATGTGAGAGTGTTCATCTAAATAAAGAAAATTGTGTGTTTCATCTTATATTCATAACTGGTTTTACAAATACAGAATATTTTTGATTCATTAAAAAAATCAATTTTTCCATATGAGGGGATATAAATCAGATAATGTAACTTCTATATAGGAATTTGTGTTAGGAATTTACTTATTTTGTTTTGAAGCAAAAAGAGAGACCCATGACTCCACTTTTTCTTGTCATTTTCAGAAAGCAAATTAAAAGAGCTATCTTCTCATATTGTATCTTTAAATTCTATCGTTTAGTGTCTTTCTATCACCAAAAAAAAAAATGTTTTACATGCATAATCCATACAAAATCTGACAATTTTGCGCAAACTGTAGCTTCATAAAAAGCCCAGTGACCAATAGTTATTATTATATTAAAAAAACATGATATAAACTACATTTTGGTTAATTATTGAAAAATTCTATCGATTTTAATTTAGATTCACCCTCCCAATCTTCCTTAACATTATCTTTGATTCATAGTTCTACCACACAAAGCATATGCGAAGCGTAACAATTCATAAGTAGTTTACAAAATGACATCTCATATATATAGTTGATACGATTCAATGATTTTAATGAAATTTTAATGACTCGAACTATAAAATCTCTATAGAATAAATAATTTTGAATTCCAAACACATTAAATACTATCAATTTATGCAGGTTCAAATAATTTCCACTTCAAACAAACACTTAATAAATGTTAAAACTTCTTTAGAATTTATGTACTGGATACCTCTTCATGTCGAATGCAAACGTAAAATATGCCAAACTCCCATTATTACGAAAACGCAAGATTGCAATATTTTTTGGACATTTATACTTTGTGATAAATCTATATACCAACTATGGTTGTCCTACGTTGTATTACTCATAATTTGAAAAACAAAAATAGGTGATATTAGTGCTTACGTCCAGCCTAATAAAGATTATCGGTAAGTTTGACAGTGATTCACTGAATTTAGTGTAGTTGTTGATACAATGCACAGACGGACGGACGAACAAATAAATAGTCATGTTCATTATTGTATTCAAGAGGAGATACATGTGCCATATACGTACAGTAAAAATTATTTCTACGAGTTGTAGAAACAGGACAAAAACAAGGGTTGTTGAGCTTGTCAAGTTGCAATCACAAATATCTTGTATGATCTATATTTTAGGTTTTAAATTTGTGTTTTAATACTGTACGTTTCTTTTACATTTAAGTTACTAATTTGATAATAGTCAGTCTTTTGTCCCACACACTATACTATTTTGAATAGAATTTTCTCGTCCTGAAACATAGCCAAATTGGAGTGCGTTTGTCCTCGACCCTAGTATCATGGTAATATTTGATTATAGATAGGGATTCACACTTTTCCAATACATATTGTCAACTTATTTTGGCTATGTTTCACGGAGAAAAAATTGAAAATTAAAAATAGTATATTATGTCGGACAAATGATCTAGGACAAAGCCCCCTCCCATTTATAATGTTATATTATCCTTTCAGTTTGGAGAATTGGCGTGTTCCGCTAAGGTATTACATGTAAATATACAGAAAGTAGAAAAATAAATTGAGGTTGAATGGTGAAGAATCTTTTCCCATAGCAAAATTGTACAAAACTTCCATCGCTTGCTACATTTAATAATAAAGAATTTTAATTCATTATTACTATGAGGGTGTGGATGGGGTTTACAGAATAGAGAATAATTGGCAAAAAAAATAATGAATAGAGAAAATGGGCAAAAAAAGAATAGAGAATAATGGGGTACTAAAATATAAAGAATAACTGCAAAATTTAAAGAATTGGGTAAAAATATACTGATTACAGAAAGAACAATGTCCAGAATACAGTTATCAAGTAATTACAGAATAGCCATTATTATTAAAGATAAAGAATAATGAGCGAAAAAAATAAGAAATACAGAAATAAAGTACCCCCATCCATACCCTCTACTATTTATGAGAACATTTACAAGGACTAATAATCAGTAGCGTCGATCCTCGCAAATCACAAACACCATTAAAGATTTTGAAGTATTTTTTCCCTGCCAGATTTTTTCCACTGTCTGATTGTGAGAACTGAAAACATTTTCAAGCGTAAGAGGATGAAAATAGATATTCCATCTGCCAAACAATTCTCCTCACCCTCTCCTTCCAAAGAAAATCAACAGGTCGTTTCCAACTGTATAATTTGCCGCATAACACGACGAACGAAAACCTTTTATAAACGGAAAAATGTAAAAAAGTATAAATTTTCGTATGCATGTATTACCTTCGTTGTCAGATCATGATCATCGTATATATATATGGCACATTGACCTATTGCCGACTACGAATGCAGTACTGGTAGTAATGGGCGTTACGTAATTTAAAATAGAATAGAATAGAATCTTTTAATTCTCCAATTTAGTGCCCAAGGAGGCCATATAAAACACCGTGAAACAATGCATTTAAACATTTACAGAACAATAATAGATTCAATATAGACATATACATGTAATTAAAAAAAATTACAACAACAACAAAACAACAACATACTGTATTATATTAAAAATAATATCATGTTGACATTAACCCAAGTGCACCAGGCAAGTGTAATTTGAATATTCTGTCTGCAAAAAAATCATGATCCCCCTCCCCAGATAATCTAATGGTCGTTCCCAAATGTAACATGACAAACGAAATCGTTGTATAAATTTGAAAAATGTAAATAAGAATAAATTTTCGTATATTACCTTTGTTGTCAGGTCATGATCATCGTACATATATATATGGCACACTCAGATGGCACATTGCCGAGTAAGAATGCAATACTGGTAGTTATGGGCGTTACGTAATATAAATATATTGATAATTATATAACCATATATATATATCAATCAAGTAATTATTTTCCTCAGTATTGTGCTTTTGTATTTGTTTATTGTTACGATATGGTGTCGCCCCTTGTGGGCCCATTATTTGGAAGAAGGTATATTTTATTAAATTATATTCTATTCTACAGTTATAATTTCCAGTTAACCTTACTTTCGCATTCATTTCAATTTTTACTTTCGATTTGAAATTTGCTATTCATATTGATATATTGTTGATTTTTCGAATCTGCAACAATGACATATAAGAACATATAAGCTATATGCATGATTCCTCGTCCTGAACATGCATGAAATACTTGCCACTGAACGCTAAGCAACCAACAATCATCAATCTGATAGATGAATCATTAGTAAGGAATTGAGTGTCTTTTTATTTAAAACACGACATCATTAATTCATCTTTTCTTTATCTGTTTTATCAGAGAGGCCAGATTCAGCTACTAAAAATGCAAACAAACAAAGCAAGTCTGAAAAAAAAATGTCGCTGTTCAAGTACAAATCACAAGAACATCATATACTATCATTTATTTAAAAGTATTTCTATTATGTCGTATGATATGCGTTTCCTTTACAGGTTACAATGTGCAGGTGTTGTTATATATAAAGTGTATAATTTTGACCCTCTGAATTAAACAAATATAGCACACAAAAATTAAAGATGTTTTCTAACTTTAATTGTTAAAATAAATCAAGTGTGTATGTATTGTAAAATGTATTACTTTTGAAAGTGTGCATGTAATAAGATAAAATGTATATCCTCTTCATATATTGTAAATATAATAGCCTGAAATTGAAATAGATTTCGTTTTAGTCCATTTTTCTAGAAGTTTGTCTTCTTTTTCACACTTTTTTCATTATTTCAAATGTGGCACAACCCCTCAGCCATTGACATTTTGGTTGCAAAGTATAGAATATGGTATATAAAAAATACTTCAGCAAATATATTTGTGCATTAGAGGTGGCGCCATCGTTAATTTTTCAGAAAACTGTCAAAAATTTGGCCCAATTATGTAAAGCCTCAGTTTAAACTAAATGGATGACGTCACAAAGACATCTCTCATGACTAAATTTGTGAAAATTTTCTTGTACTGAAACATTTTAACATACGCTTTTTCTTCAAATTTTCACAACATTAAGATTCAACATACCACTTCCATAAAGATTAACAGAATATCTAAAAATCAATACACATCTTAATGTAAACAATGAAAATATAAAGTCAATTAAAATGGAATTCAGGAAAAGACCATAATAACATATTACAAGCCTCAGAAATAACCACACTGTACTCTGCATTGACTTACACTCTAATAGTGGTCCACTATGTGACAGCATAGTTAATTTGAGAAAAGGATTTTTACCACCATTTAGTTTACAAAAAAATGCATTCAAACTTTATTATTATAAAGGAAATTGATTAAATATTCTTATGATATACACAGGTATTACTTTTTATTTATATATGAGGGTCTGGATGGGGGTCCTTTATTTCTGTATTCTTTAATTTTCTAGGCCATTTTATCCTATTCTTTATACTTTTTTCCTATTATTCTCTATTCTTTATATTTTATCACCTCATTATTCTCTATTCTTTATATTTTTTGCCCATTATTCTTTATTCTGTAAACCCTCAAATATGACCATTTTCAAAAATTGGTTAATATAAATGACTTGATTGCAGTTGATCAAAACTGGAAACTGAATTAAAAGACACCAATCTGATTAAAATTCTGATCCATATAAACTCGCGTGCTCGTATATATAGGAGTATAACGAAATCAGAGAACTATATTTCAATTAGATTGAAAAGACACTAAAATTAGGGTAGTAGTTTGATACTTATGTTGCCTGTATATCTGGAGAGACTATTTGGCAGTTAATTAGACTAGTCATATTTATAAATTTACTGGAATTTCCCATCATGACTCATTAACAGTTCTTAAATAATTGATTTAAAACCTATAAAGACTGTTACAATGAAATAACTTTGATGTCATTAAGCAAACGTTTACTCTTGCATAGCTTCAAATTGGTAAGTTATCACAATGTATGCATTAAAATGTCAAATTGTTTGGGGCCTGGGTTTTTATATAAAGCCAGATTTTTTTTATCATGCAAACTGAGGCAAACCGAGTAAGAATATTTTTTTTCAGTCAATCCAAAGCAAGGAAATTTTTTTTCAACATAATACATGTCATACTTGCTGAAGATGAAGCCAGAATATTTTTTTTAGCAACTGAATAGGCCAGATTATTTTATTTTTTTTGTCAAAATAGAGGCCAGATTATTTCATTTAAAAAAAAACAGCCCCCCCCCCCCCCCCCCGAAAGTCAAATGGTCCATGCCTAAGGATGTTCGCTCCTCTTGTTTATGAATTTTTGCCAGCTATTCGTAATCCTCTGGTGTTATCCATATATATATATAGTGCCATTAAAGATTTTGCCCACTTACCCCTACTTTTCTTTCCATAATTTGATAACGTATAATTTAAAATGCCATCTTTGAAAATCTTACAAAATCTTTGTTATTTTTTCATCGTTTTTGAGAAAAAAGGTGCCAATGTTAAATGTATGAAAAATCTAGAGAGAATTATTTCCCGCCAAAATTTTAATGGCTAATATCTCGAAAACAAGCACACGGACCCTACATTTTTTTCTGCTTTTTTAGTTTCTTTATTTATATACTATCAATCTATAACAGTCTTAAAAAAAACTTGTTATTTCAAAACAGAGTAGCGAACATCCTTAATGTAAAAAATGTACTTTTTTTTCTTTAATGTGACCTGGGAATAGTATACTGTCAATATATTATATCTCAGATGTGACATTGAAATAGATACTGTTTTTTCTAATTCATTAATTGATTAATTGCTGATTGCCTTATGGTATATTGTGAAAATATATATATAGTAATAGTCAGAACAACAATCATAACCCAAATCTATCAAGCTATCAAGCGTTTGTCCTAAATTTTCTTCAAAAAAAATGAAACTATGTCATATTATGCAGAAGTGTGATTTTCATCCATTACTTGATTTCGTCATATCCGCAATGTAACACAAATAGAATCGTTCTTGTAATTATGTTAGTCTTCCGAAGGGACAAAAACGATTAAAATTGATAATTTCAAGCTTAAATTTATAATTATAATCCCATGATTAACCATATTTATCCATTTTCCTTTAAAAAATTAACATCAACAGATAAAATTGTTTCATTTTAAGTCAAACTTTAATAAATTTTGCTCCCAATCCTTGGCAGTCTGTTTGGTTCAAACTGAACTATACTTCGTAGTATAAAATATTTCCTGAATTCAAAATTAGCTATTTCATGAATTTGTTCTGACAATATTATCCGATGATTGGATTTATGAGATTACCGAAGTGTAGGTAAAAGTCTTAGGTGAGCGGATACACCGGACTGCACCGTACCTGATGAAGGCATGAATCCAGAAAAGCGCTTTGGACATACGAAATTTATAGAATCGATTATTACAAGGCTTTCGAGGTCCTTTTAAAGGAAAAAAAGTCAAATGGACCAGTTAAACGGCAACAAGGTAAGATTTCTTTATGAACATATGAACTGTTATCCTATCATTTAAATATAAACGAAAATTAAGTCTTGAAATATGCTCAATATCAAAATAAAAGCAAAAGTTTATATCCTTGTAAAAAGTATACTGTTACGTTTTTCTTTTGTAAATAAGTAATTAAATGCTATTTATTTTATTGTAGATGCGATATTTTTTAATGTAGTTGTGGTATGTTTTTATTGTTACTATACGTTTCATATTTTATAAGGTAGCAGTCTTACCCCATCGCTTACTGTCAAAATGAACTTTTGAGACATCTATCGAACTACTGCGAGTACTCTCAGATCTGTACTTAGTGTCCTTTTTGTTGTTACGGATGTTGATGGATATATACCCTGCAACGTCCGGTCTGTGTTTATGTTTGATGTTTTTCTGCTTTGTATCGATCTGATGAGTTAAGCCTTTTTCAACTGATTTTTATAGTTTGTTCTTATGTTGTGCTGTTCCACCACTGTCCCAGGTTACGGGGAGGATTGAGCGCTCTTAAAAACATGTTTAGCCCCGCCACATTCGTTATGTGCCTGTCACAAGTCAGGAGCCTGTAGTTCAGAGGATGTCGTTGGTTCATGTCTGTCATATTTGTCTTTCGTTAATTGTTTTGTTATAAATTAGGTCGTTAGTTTTCACAATTGAACTGTTTCATATTTTTCATGTCGGGGCATTTTATAGCTGACTATACGGTATGGGTTCATTGTTGAAGGTCGTACGGTTGCCTTTAATTGCTTATATCCACTTTATTTGAACTTTGGTGGATTGTTGTCTCATTTGCAATCATACCACATCTCCTTATTTTTATAAAAAGATATGTTCTTACCTTACACATTTTAACCTATCGAATGGCCTTTTTAATCTTGATGTATAATTCGATAAAATTGCAATAACATTACATCAAATAAAGATATTCCAGAAAAAATGTTAGTACAGATATTTTTTTGTCTCGCCTCTACGAAGTAAAGGAGGCGTGCTGTTTCCGGTGGCGTCGGCGGCGTCAACATTTTTTTTTTCTAATTTGTGATAAGGTTAGTTTTTTAAAATGGGGACCACTAAAGATAAGTCAATGGATATTTGGTATGCATTTGTATTAGCATTGGCATATAGAGATAATAAGGCCTTGCCCCCTTGACGATAGTTCATTGACTGCGAAAGTTTTGCATCGCTTACAAAGTCAGGAATATGACAGTTGTTTTCCATTCGTTTGATGTGTTTGAGCTTTCGATTTTGCCATTTGATAAGGGAGTTTCCGATTTGAATTTTCATTGGAGTTCGGTATTTTCGTCGTTCATTTTTGAATCCTATATCATTATTAAGAAAAATTCTGTGGA